GGATTATTCCTTGGCGATCCCACAAGATTGAAAGAAGAAACTTTTGCCCATGAAGTTCCCTTCTCGGCTGTGGCTGGGGTCCTTACCCTTTATCAAGCCACTATCCACGACGCTTAACATTTCGATAAAAGATCCATTTTTCGTTGCCAGTCACAAGTCTATCCAAAAAAGGTGAAATAAGTTGGCGAGAATGGAGAGAAAGCAGATGTCAACTCGGGATTTGAGGTTGTTTTCAGACAATTCATGAGGCACCCATTTTCCAAGTTTAGAAACTTTTCCAAGTTGTTGAAGATGATGATGAACAGTTGTATGGTTTCAACTGAGAACCACTGCCAATTCCTCAACTGATAAAGCAGGATTTTCTTCAAGGCCTGCTTCAAGAAGCTTTTCATCCAACTCAACTGGACGTCCGGTTCGATCTTCATCTTCAAGGGTGAAATCTCCACCTCTGAATTTTGCACACCGTCTTCTGCAAGTTCTTTCATTCACACATTCCTCTCCATAAACTGAGTGAATATTTCTAGCTGCTTCGGCTGCTGAGTTTCCTTTCTTGAACTCATTATTATTATCAGAATACACCTTTAAGTGCTGAAACTAGATGCGTCGTCAGTGTTGTTGCTCCCATGTCACTAGAAGTTTCAGGTCTAAATAAACAACAGACTTCTTCGATGGGCGACCCGACCGAATATGATCAGTATTCGGCCTGCACCTAGAACAAAACTTGCCACTAGCTTTAGGACGCGAATTATATAAGTTATAGCTACGTTATACATCCAATCATCTAGAGGGCCTCAGATTCAACACTGCCTTAAGGAGATAGCGCTGCTCTGGGTCAATATAGTGACTGCTAGGAGACCCTCTGTGTGGAAACAGGACACTGGACACAAGTAGAAGAACACAGTCATGGATGTCAGACAATTTCTGCGACCACGTTACCCCTTACATTGGGCCACCTAACTGCCCAAACTGCAAACTCCTTGATTATTATGTGGGGACGCAGTTGAGCGAGAGACCAACAAAAAACCTTGTAACACCAAAGATGAACTGAAGACAAGGATTATGGCAGCATTCACCAACCTAAACAAGGATAGCGTCCAGAAGAGTTGCAGAAAATTCTGAATTCGTCTGGAGGACGTCATTGAACTGGAGAATTTATTGAATAAATCTACACTAACATATTGCGTAATTTTCAGTGTAAATTTTTTATTTTTGCATAATTTCGATCACAATTTATCCCCCGACTTATATATATATATATATATATATATATATATATATATATAATGGGAGTAGATAGGTTCTCTTATCGTCCGGTTCATATTGTTACCCGATTTTAATGATTGGGTAGAGGTTTATCCTTTGTTCCTTCTTCAGTATTGATTTACCGGTTCTTTCTTTTAATTCTCTTTAACTCCCAGTAACCTCTTGCATTTTACTGGTATTATTCGCTTGCTTAGGTTGAATTGATATATATATATATATATATATATATATATATATATATATATATATATATATATATGTGTGTGTGTGTGTGTGTGTGTGTGTGTGTGTGTGTATTCATGTGTGTTGTATTCAGTTTGGACGTCCACTCTTAAGCTACAAAGATAAATTGAAAGATAACTTTAGATATCTCAACTTTGATCTGGAAACCTGGGAAACCCAAGCATCAAAACGAAAGGATTGGCGAAAGACATGTTTTATTAATTTAAAGGGTTTTGAAGATAGTAGCCTGAAGCACTGTGATCAGCTTCCTGATGCTCTGAAGCAGAGACGCCATCAAAATCCTGCTTTAACAAATTTCATCTGTCAGTGTGGCTTTGTCCCCTGCAGCAAGGAGCGGTTAGTAACACACTTAAGAAAGCACAGATTTCATATGTATTTTCCTTACCTGATTTTCGCCACAATAGCCCCTGCTAGCATGCATGAGTATAAAACGAAAAGCACCATCCAATGTTGACCCTCGTTTATTGTTTACGATAGGAGAGTCCACCATATAAAATTTTCTTAATAATTTTATAGTATAAAATGACCAAATAATGCTAGTAATTTAATGCGATTTTAAGCAATCATCGTTAGTAAGCAAACGTTTTTTTGCGAAATTGCATATTTTATAATCACTCTTTAGCACAAATCGTTACAAACAGAGTAGATGATGTGTATATAATATAAACAAACCAAATATATCCACCGAGAGGGAAATGCTGACACCATTAATTGGGGATGAAAAAAACGAAAAAAAAAAACAGAAAAAAAAAAAAAAATAAAAATAAATATAAAGCAAAACAAAACAAACACCATAAAATATTAAAAGAACATCTAGAATGTTCTCGATAACATGAGATGCAAAAAGGTTCCAAGAATGAAGCATAACGCCAAAAGCGAAACCGTGCTCTTCAATACCGGGCCTACAAAGCTCCCCCCCATATCAGTGCATATTTAATTAATTTACAAAAAATAAAATAAAATAAAAAGAAAATAACATATGAAAATGAAATATATTAAAATTTTGTGATTCCTGGCGTATCCTCGTCGCCACTTTTATAAAAAATACAGAACCACCGATTTCAGAAGAATAGAATTTTTCTCCAGTTTTGTGTACACATATAATTGACCAAAGTTGGCTTTTGAGAAAATGCAGATCCACAAACCTGACAAAAATATGGTTTCTTTATAATATGTATTTCCATCTAGCCTATTATGTCCTACTTCGCAACAGATGAATATAGCCTATATTTCCTGTTTATTCACGCACAACACTAAATAGGTACTTGTAGAAAGATAAACCTCACATTTCAAAGCACATTACTTCTTGCCAAGTTCATTGCCATGCCTTTGACAATGTAGATCCATCACTTCCACATAAACGACGGTTTTTGGCCACCTTGGCGTGGGGTAATGGTTAGCAAGCTTGTTTCGAAAAACGGTTACAATTGAATAGTGAGTTCGATCCTCACTGGGTGTTCCATGCTTTCGGCCTTGACATGCATCTAAGCTGCGCATAGAAAATCATTGGGTTCCGTCGCGTGGTGTAATGGTTGGCATGCTTGTCTCGCTAAAACAGTTACGACTGAGTAGTGAGTTCGATCCTCACTGGGTGCCCCGTGTTTTTGACCATGTACCACATCTAAGCTACGATTAGAAAATCAATATATTTATGTTTTCATGGAAAGTGAAATGTTTTTTCCTTTAACGAAATTCTCAATTATCAACACTGCTGTTTTTGTACAGCCAAAACAATTAAAATATTGAAGCCTCTTAAGATGTCCACTTTCCAGGGTAAATCATTAAAACCTTTTCAGAGAAAAACAAACAGAATTAATTTACTGTTGTTGGATTTCATATTTCTTTTTCAAGGTCGACAATATTTTAGAATCAGTAAAAATTCCTTTATGATCACGTTACTCACTGGTTATGTAGATTCAAACCACAGTGTCGGCAACGACACTTACTCTTATACATCATAAAATATATGTCGGATTTATATATCTGACATATAAACATAATATGATGTCATTGTTTGCTTTAGGCTATGTTTCGGAGCAGAAATGAATTATTGAGAAAGGTGATCGAATGTTTATAAGCAGTACTTTGAGCTTTGCTAAACCGGAAGTACCCTGCGATTTAATAGGTTAAGAGCACGTCAAGCTAAAGGACGGTTTCCACATGGGATACGGGTTCGATTCCTGTCGGAGGTCGCATATTTTTATTGAAATTTCTCGAATATTTAGGTCGGTAAATGTAGTTATACTGTTTAATTCAAAACTCAAATCAGTTGTATCCATAAAAATAACGTATTAACAGAAAATATGTCAGTACACACACACACAAGCACACACACACACACATATATATATATATATATCCCAAAGCGTTTTTTTAATATTTGACAAACATGATTGAATATATATATATATATATATATATATATATATATATATATATATATATATATATATATAAGTAAAGAGTGAACGTGGAGGAAAGCGAAAGCTTAGATGGAAGTGTATACAAAACAGATGTATGTCCCTGTATAAAAATATCCTTCCCGCCATTATCACTCAATGACGCTTAATGGGCATATATGGTGACCAAACAGTGGATATAAGCAAAGTTAGTTGGTGATAAATTTTGGTAGAAGTTTGGGATTTGGCACTTTCAATCTTCTTTCACTTCCTACAAGTTTAAATGCTTAATAAATATTTTAAATAATAATTTATTGGACGCTGATGGATTGTTAAAAGAAACAAATGAAGTAGTAACACTTTTATATACCGTTGTGTATGCAATAATATTAATGAAGTTGTCTTGCTGTTTATTGTAAGCGAAAAAAGCTTCCCGGCGCTGAGGGGCACTTGACATCACTTAACGCCGACATCACTGCTCGGGGGAGATACAAATTCGAAGTATCTACATTACTCTGATAAGAAAAGCAAATGGAAAGAGATGGACGATGAAGGAGATAGGAGAACAGTCGAAGGGTAGAGCAAACCTATTGTTTTTTTTTTTAAAATGAAGTGCCAAAAGTCAAAGGGTGACGTCACTGTTTTTTTTTGTTTTTTTGTTAATAAAGAAAAAGAATAAAGAAAGAAAAAAGAAACGAAAAGAAAAATAGAAATGAAAGAAAAAAGAAAATAAAGTAAAAAGAAAAATAAGTTTATCGCTTAATCCTAAGAAATGTGAGATTTCTTCTTTCATGCTTAGGAAGTTAAAACGCAAAATGATTGATTCGTTTTTTACGGCTTATCAACACTTTGCTGGTTATTTAAAGCCAGCAACTATTTTTTAGATTGAATTTTATTTTTAGATAATAATCATTTAGTGACATTCGTCTTATTAATTAACCCATATCTGGGGTGAGAAGAGGTAAAATCATAAATTTTCCAAGGGTATTTGCCCGTAAGGAAATATAATGAATCCAACTGGAATTAGGACTCAGCCCACCGATTAACAATTCCTAGTTTTTATTCATTACACCACCCGCACATCCAAGCTTACAGTGGTATTCCTAAGCGGTCACTCATCTAAGTACTGACCAGGCTCGATGTGGCTTCATGTCGATGATCGTACCGGAACCGATGTTTCAACGAGATATGGCCGTGAGCCTAAAAAACAAGTTTATTTTGATCGTGACAAAAATGCAAAAACTAAAGTGTAAATTGTATTCGTATTCAGCCACATTGATGAATGGAACTGCCATAACAACTTATTTCCTGCTGTTATTCCCAATTGATGAATAAATTAGAACTTAAAATAAACAATTCCAAAACAGAAACTAGAATGGAGATGTGGACGAAAAGCAGTGATAATAAATACACTGAATCAATCACAAAAATCAAAATGTTAATCTTTTTAATTTTCACCCCTAACAAGACAATAAAGCCACTACGACACAAGAGGTTACTGAATGTGAGAGCATATGAGAAAAATAAAAACATTATTAAAGAAAGAGAACTTTTAATGTTCTCTTTCTTTAATAATGTTTTTATTTTTCTCAAGAGATTTAAGAAGACAGAAAATAATGAGGGACATTACATTTAAATTTTTGAAGATCAAAGTTGACTTTCAAGCTTTTTGAAGATCAAAGTTGACTTTCAAGCTTTTTGAAGATCAATGTTGACTTTCAAGCTTTTTGAAGATCAATGTTGACTTTCAAGCTTTTTGAAGATCAATGTTGACTTTCAAGCTTTTTGAAGATCAATGTTGACTTTCAAGCTTTTTGAAGATCAATGTTGACTTTCAAGCTTTTTGAAGATCAATGTTGACTTTCAAGCTTTTTGAAGATCAATGTTGACTTTCAAGCTTTTTGATGATCAATGTTGACTTTCAAGCTTTCAAGCTTTTTGAAGTTCAATGTTGACTTTCAAGCTTTTGAAGTTCAATGTTGACTTTCAAGCTTTTGAAGATCAATGTTGACTTTTTTTGAAGATCAATGTTGACTTTCAAGCTTTTTGATGATCAAAGTGGACTTTCAAGCTTTTTGAAGATCAATGTTGACTTTCAAGCTTTTTGAAGATCAATGTTGACTTTCAAGCTTTTTGAAGATCAATGTTGACTTTCAAGCTTTTTGATGATCAATGTTGACTTTCAAGCCTTTTGATGATCAATGTTGACTTTCAAGCTTTTTGAAGATCAATGTTGACTTTCAAGCTTTTTGATGATCAAAGTTGACTTTCAAGCTTTTTGAAGATCAAAGTTGACTTTCAAGCTTTTTGAAGATCAATGTTGACTTTCAAGCTTTTTGAAGATCAATGTTGACTTTCAAGCTTTTTGAAGATCAATGTTGACTTTCAAGCTTTTTGAAGATCAAAGTTGACTTTCAAGCTTTTTGAAGATCAATGTTGACTTTCAAGCTTTTTGAAGATCAATGTTGACTTTCAAGCTTTTTGAAGATCAATGTTGACTTTCAAGCTTTTTGAAGATCAATGTTGACTTTTTTTCAAGCTTTTTGAAGATCAATGTTGACTTTCAAGCTTTTTGAAGATCAAAGTTGACTTTCAAGCTTTTTGAAGATCAATGTTGACTTTCAAGCTTTTTGAAGATCGATGTTGACTTTCAAGGTTTTTTGATGATCAATGTTGACTTTCAAGCTTTTGAAGATCAATGTTTACTTTCAAGCTTTTTGAAGATCAAAGTTGACTTTCAAGTTTTTGAAGATCAAAGTTGACTTTCAAGCTTTTTGAAGATCAATGTTGACTTTCAGCTTTTTTTCAATGTTGACTTTTTTGAAGATCAATGTTGACTTTCAAGCTTTTGAAGATCAATGTTGACTTTCGCTTTTTGAAGATCAATGTTGACTTTCAAGCTTTTTGAAAGTTGACTTTCAAGCTTTTTGAAGATCAATGTTGACTTTCAAGCTTTTTTGATGACTTTCAAACTTTTAAGATCAATGTTGACTTTCAAGCTTTTGATGATCAATGTTGACTTTCCTTTTGATGATCAATGTTGACTTTCAAGCTTTTTTTGAAGATCAAAGTTGACTTTCAAGCTTTTGAAGATCAATGTTGACTTTCAAGCTTTTTTGAAGATCAATGTTGACTTTCAAGCTTTTTGAAGATCAATGTTGACTTTCAAGCTTTTTGAAGATCAAAGTTGACTTTCAAGTTTTTTTTGAAGATCAATGTTGACTTTCAAGCTTTTTGAAGATCAATGTTGACTTTCAAGCTTTTTGAAGATCAATGTTGACTTTTTGAAGATCAATGTTGACTTTCAAGCTTTTTGAAGATCAATGTTGACTTTCAAGCTTTTTGAAGATCAAAGTTGACTTTCAAGCTTTTTTGAAGATCAATGTTGACTTTCAAGCTTTTTTGAAGATCGATGTTGACTTTCAAGCTTTTTGAAGATCAATGTTGACTTTCAAGCTTTTTGAAGATCAATGTTGACTTTCAAGCTTTTGAAGATCAATGTTGACTTTCAAGCTTTTTGATGATCAATGTTGACTTTCAAGCTTTTTGAAGATCAATGTTGACTTTCAAGCTTTTGAAGATCAATGTTGACTTTCAAGCTTTTGATGATCAATGTTGACTTTCAAGCTTTTTGATGATCAATGTTGACTTTTTTTCAAAGTTGACTTTCAAGCTTTTGAAGATCAATGTTGACTTTCAAGCTTTTGATGATCAATGTTGACTTTCAAGCTTTTTTGAAGATCAATGTTGACTTTCAAGCTTTTTTCAATGATCAATTTTGATGATCTTTTGAAATGACTTTCAAAGCCTTTTGATGATCAATGTTGACTTTCAAGCTTTTTGAAGATCAATGTTGACTTTCAAGCTTTTTCAATGTTGACTTTCAAGCTTTTTTTGATGATCAAATTTGATTTTCAAGCTTTTTGAAGATCAATGTTGACTTTCAAGCTTTTGAAGATCAATGTTGATTTTCAAGCATTTTGAAGATCAAAGTTGACTTTCAAGCTTTTTGAAGATCAATGTTGACTTTCAAGCTTTTTGAAGATCAATGTTGACTTTCAAAGTTTTTGAAGATCAATTTGACTTTCAAGCTTTTGAAGATCAAAGTTGACTTTCAAGCTTTTTGAAGATCAATGTTGACTTTCAAGCTTTTTGAAGATCAATGTTGACTTTCAAGCTTTTTGATGATCAATGTTGACTTTCAAGCCTTTTGATGATCAATGTTGACTTTCTTTCAAGCTTTTTGACTTTCAATTTTGAAGATCAATTTGACTTTCAAGCTTTTTGAAGATCAATGTTGACTTTCAAGCTTTTTGATGATCAAAGTTGACTTTCAAGCTTTTTGAAGATCAATGTTGACTTTCATGCTTTTTGAAGATCAATGTTGACTTTCAAGCTTTTTGAAGATCAAAGTTGACTTTCAAGCTTTTTGAAGATCAATGTTGACTTTCAAGCTTTTTGAAGATCAATGTTGACTTTCAAGCTTTTTGAAGATCAAAGTTGACTTTCAAGGTTTTTGAAGATCAATGTTGACTTTCAAGGTTTTTGAAGATCAATGTTGACTTTCAAGCTTTTTGAAGATCGATGTTGACTTTCAAGCTTTTTGAAGATCAATGTTGACTTTCAAGCTTTTTGAAGATCAATGTTGACTTTCATGCTTTTTGAAGATCATGTTGACTTTCAAGCTTTTTGAAGATCAAAGTTGACTTTCAAGCTTTTTGAAGATCAATGTTGACTTTCAAGCTTTTTGAAGATCAATGTTGACTTTCAAGCTTTTTGAAGATCAAAGTTGACTTTCAAGGTTTTTGAAGATCAATGTTGACTTTCAAGGTTTTGAAGATCAATGTTGACTTTCAAGCTTTTGAAGATCGATGTTGACTTTCAAGCTTTTTTGAAGATCAATGTTGACTTTCAAGCTTTTTGAAGATCAATGTTGACTTTCAAGCTTTTTGATGATCAATGTTGATTTTCAAGCTTTTTGAAGATCAATGTTTACTTTCAAGCTTTTTGAAGATCAAAGTTGACTTTCAAGCTTTTTGAAGATCAATGTTGACTTTCAAGCTTTTTGAAGTTCAATGTTGACTTTTCGCTTTTTGAAGATCAATGTTGACTTTCAAGCTTTTTGAAGATCAATGTTGACTTTCAAGCTTTTTGATGATCAAAGTTGACTTTCAAGCTTTTTGAAGATCAATGTTGACTTTCAAGCTTTTTGAAGATCAAGATCAATGTTGACTTTCAAGGACTTTCAAGTTGACTTTTTTTTTGAAGATCAATGTTGACTTTCAAGCTTTTTGATGATCAATGTTGACTTTCAAGCCTTTTGATGATCAATGTTGACTTTCAAGCTTTTTGAAGATCAATGTTGACTTTCAAGCTTTTTGAAGATCAATGTTGACTTTCAAGCTTTTTGAAGATCAATGTTGACTTTCAAGCTTTTTGATGATCAATGTTGACTTTCAAGCTTTTTGAAGATCAATGTTGACTGTGAACCTTTGTGAGGTTCAAAGTTGACTTTCAAGCTTTTTGAAGATCAAAGTTGAATGTTAAGCTTTTTGAAGATCAAAGTTGACTTTCAAGTTTTTTGAAGATCAAAGTTGACTGTCAAGCATGAAGCTGGAAGAGAGTGTCAGAAGCAAGAAGCGTGAGAGAAGAAACTGTTAGCACAAAACTTACGGTTACATCTAATCATTTCAACTGTAAATTGATGAGACCTTACCGCCAATCTAGTACTGCGCTTAAATTAAAAAAGTCTATTTACATTCGAACAATTACTATGAAAGTATTCATAGAAAAAAAAAAAACACATTCCGTCTTGTTCTTTGTATCACTTAGTAAGTTTTATCCTTTTGATATCTTTTTTTAATGTCTTTTTAAATGTCTTTTCTGTCATGCTCGTTACATAGGCTATTCGCCATTTTCCTTTTGATCTCTTGATTTCAATAAATCATGTAAATGTAATATTCTCCAAGCCTTTTCTCTTTTTTTTTGTGCTCTAGAAATGAAATAATGACATAATGAAGATGTTGACTTTCTACCCTACCTTAAACAAATGGTTAGAAAGGAAACCCCCATTACCACAACAAAAGGAGATAAACGATATTGAACTTGAGGAATTTATTTTTTCTGAAAACTCTTTTATATATTTCAATAGACATTAATGATAAGCGTTTGGTCAATGAATGCCGAATGTTTCCTT